CGTCAGAACCTTATACTAGTGTAAACAAAATATTAGGTAACTAAAAGTACAACAAAATAGAATAAAATATAGAATCACATATCATTTTGTAGAATAAGTAAAAAAGTGTTAAAAATTTCCTTAATATAAATATTTATATCAATATAAATATTTTGACATAAATATAAATATTTATGTCAAATTTTGATAATATGGGAAAGTAAAATATTTTTCAGCTTAATTTTAAAAAGACGTAGGTAAGTCAAAATTAAAATTAGGCAAAACAATTTTGTTTGTATTTTCATTTCAGAAAAAAGTAGTTTAGAGCGAGAAAAACGATCAGCAAAATTACTTACATGTTTTGCATGTTTCTGATGGCGATAGACAGATTGTAACTTATATTTGTAATTGATTGTAACAATATTTGCATAATTTATATAGCTATGAATGAATACCAGTTAGCATAAAAACTTTCGTATTTGTATAAATTCTGACCTTATAAAGAATTCTAATATTTTTTGAAATATTTTTAAATTAATAAGAATCATAAGAATATTTTTGGAAATATTTTTGGAAGAATTTTTAACTTCATAAAAATTTTCATAAATTCATTAGAATCTTTATGAGAAACATCATAAGAACCATTTCTTCATAATAGCCATAAGAAAGAGGCTAAGTAAATTAAAAAAGAAACAACTAACAACAAACAAACTTTTGTTCATTAAAACTGTTAATGTTATTTGTAAAATTAAACAAAGAACAAAAACAATTCTCCTTTAAGGTAAATTTTCTCAAAAACGTCGCATCGCATGACAAAACATCTAATGGATGAAAGTTAGAGAATATCGGACTTTCAATTATAATTAATCGTTTTTACTTTTAGTTTTACTGCTCTCTTAAAAATCTAACAAATGTGTCACCCTGGTAACTTTCTTACAATTAATTTTTTTCTCATCACCTACTTACGTCATTAAAGTGTATAAAACAAAAAGTTTTTTAAATTATACACACACATACTGTTAACAATAGTTTTATTGATAAATTATTCAAGTTCCATTTTGTTATTTGTTGATTGCTCAACTTGCTTCACAACGTTGCTTAACTTACCTCGTTGAAGCAGGTTGAACAGTTTGGTAAACTTTAGGCTATATCTTCTCAAACAAATCAAAAAAAATTTTTTTTTCTTTACTAATTTTTAGCAGGTTAAATAATCTTTTTCAATAGTGAAAAGGTAAATTTAATGCACAGTTCATGAGATCTGTTAGATTTAGTAAAAATTGCTAAACTACCCTCATTTTATTCTATTTAGGTTTTATTACTTTCATATACGGTTCCCAGATCTATCCCACCAAAAAACCCCTTATGTATTTCATACAAGAGACAGATTGGAGATTCCACAAGTCACCTGACCTGATTGTAGACAAGTCACCTGATGGCAAATTTATGAACTTTACATTTTGATTTTTATTACATATTTTCTACTTGTAAACTTATGCAGGCAATAAATTGTTAAGATATAAAAAAACACTTTGAAAAAGTAGTATAGATGCATCATTGATTGTTTTTTATTAACTCAGGGTTTTTAAAACATTCGCGATCTTGCTCCGTCTTTCCCTATTGATTAGCTGGGTATATTGGACAAGTCCACGTTAGCCATAAAAGAAAGTTATACGACATTAGCCACTTTTTTATTTGCTTTTATAACGGTAGTTATCATGCCATTATTTAGTAGAAAGCTTATATAAAGAACTGCCGTATGAGTACATAAAAACAGTTTACTAGGTTAAAAAACCAAATAAAAACAGTTTTAATAAATATTTCTTTTCTTTTTTTGGAGTTTGAGTTTTCAATTTATTTAATTCCATTCAGGATATGTTGATTTGTGTTGCATATGAGAAATCAAAACGCAATTCATGAAAATAGAGCTGAAGTTATAGTTATTACATAAAAATTTATAATTTTATCTGCTTTAAAACGCATATAAAGTTATAAAATCAAGTTTGCTTAAAAGAGTTGGCACCATGACCAATCAAGGTTGCCACTATGACCAATCAGTTATAACTCAAGCCCTTTTATAAAAAAAAGTTTACTAAACAAACATCTCTACGAAGAAAACAACTATTAAAAACACTCTTTTCAGCTTATGCAACCAATTTATCCCATAGGAATTCTTTGAGTACATGTTTACTTGCTTTTGAATTGTAAAAGCATTTTAATTAATGTTTTACTTAAAAATTGATCGCAATTTTTGATTTATTAAATAAAAAATTTATTTTATTCAGAAAGTTGATTAGCATCTCTACAAGTAAAACAAATTGTTGAACATTTAAACAGTAACAAAATATTGTAGAACACTTTTTTAACTAAATACTTAGACAACTATTTGTTTAACTAACAATTTTAAATTAAATCTGAGTATAATTTTTTTTTTTATCTTTTTATCTTTTTAAATTCTTTTTATCTAATCCAAAAATAGTTTTGCGGTTTAACCTAAGTTTTGTAATTTATTGTGTTTTTTTTAGATGAAAATATTAAAAGAAGTTGTTCTCCTAATATTTCTTTTTTTATTTTTTTTTATTACGTTTGTATTTTTGACTGCTTCACTTTTTGGCGATAGTTGGTGGGCATCTAACTCAAATACAAATGCTCGCGTTGGTTTATTTAGAGTATGTACAACAATCCTGTTTCACACATCCTCTACTATGAGCTGTTCTATCCGTGAGCATGCGTTGAAACTTGATAAAGATTACAAAGGTACTAAAGTTTATCTGACTTTTCTAAATTAATAGTAAACCAGAAATAGTAACGTAAGTTTTTAATTTCATCCTGCTCAACAATATTTGATATTAAAATACAGATGTTACTTTTTGAAATTTGAATTAAGATGTGATTTCAATTTCTAAAATATTTAAAATAATTTAATGATAACAAAAAATTACAGGTATTAGGTTGTCTTTGCTTCTTATTGTTTTTAAATTATATTGTTCAGTTTTAAAAAAAATGTATAGAAATCTGCAATTATTTTTAAGACCTTTTAAATATACAGTTTTATAAAAAACTATAAATATATAGTTTTATTTCAGACTGGTTACCTTATTTAAACATTTTACTTTTTTAGACTTTGACATTGCAGCCATACTAAATATTGTTGCTCTTATAATCTGTATTTGTGGAACCATAACATTGATGATTCTAGTGTTTTTTCCTGTTGTTTTATGGCTTCCTTACAAGATTTTTATTCTTTCAGTTATGTCCAGTAAGTTAATTTATGCAGTAAGTTAATTTATGCAGTAAGTTAGTTATTAATAAAAATGCAAATTAACAATGGTCTAATTAAATAAATAATTGATTCTTCAGATATCATAACGTTAACTATGATGGTTTTTGTGGAGGTGAGAATAAACTCAAAAATTGATGATTATGTAGGAGAAACTATGGTCAGAGGATGGACTTTTAAAATTGCATACTGCGCACTTGTTGCTGGTTTTTTATTAGCAGTTTCTTCTTGCGTTTTTTTAAGATTAAAACTAAAACAGAAACTCGAAAGAGGATTTCTAATTGAACATTTAGTGCCCAGCGATGTGTCAAAAATATTTGCTGAAGAACTCATGAATGCAAAAACGGAATATAAATCTCATCTTTCAAAAACGTCTACAAACATACCGGGGACTGAACAGCTAAAATATTTTGCTGACTGCTCCAACTTAAACACAATGCCGCAACAGCCTGAAAAAATGCGAGCTGTATACAGAGGTTCAAATTATTTTGCTGGAAGACGCCGGATGATGGAGTTAAATGCAGATTTGCATGTAAATAGTATACCATAGTCATTGAAACTAAAAAAAGAAAAAAAAAACAATTAAATTGAGTATTTATTTTACATATTTTTCAAAATGTTCCAAGAAGACCTAGGTTTACCGTAGAATAGCATTTATTGCAAAAGTTTTCCACTACCTTATAATGCTGCTTTTACTAATTTTTTTTTTAGCCATCATCGTTAAAAAAAAGTTGTCAAAACTTTAATTTGTTTGCTCAAAAAACTTTTGTTTTCAAATTTAAAAAAAAAATTTTAGGTTTTTTAATAACTATGGTTCGACTTCTTGGAAAGGTTTAAATCCTTTTTGTTTTCTTAACTATTATTATTTATTCTGGTATCTTTTTATATAACTTTAAGAAAAAACCTTTTGAGGTTGTTTGGTTTAATAATCACGTGACTAGTGGCCTAAATAATTTTTAATAAGACCTTCTATTTTTCTGAACTAAATGTCTAACTAAAGACATATATAGTGTGTCTATAAATTCTGAAGGTCTTCAGAATGTTTTTCAAAACTCAACCTATATTCAAGGCGTCCTAATATGATATAAAAATTTGCCTAAAGTTTACGTACGATGGTTTACATTTTTATTCCTAGAGGCAATTCTATAATTAAAATTGGGGGAGGGGGCGTGAATACTTAAAAAGTAACGACTGGTTCTTTATAAAAAAGGTCCTCAAAACTAAAATTCTCCCGACTAAATTGTCGCCATCCCCCCTAACATCGTCTCTGCTTGATTTAATCTAGACAAAATAAGGTAAACAGATAACCTAAAGTAAATTAAGTATAACTTAAAAATCTTTGCAATATATTAGAAATAATATTAAAAACATAAAAAATTATAAAATTAATCTTAATTTATATTAGATTCTGTTCAATAGTTTCCATATTATACAAAATTATACTAAAAAACCAAAATTTCGGTATTCTGAACTTTTAATTGTCACAATACCCTTAAAACATTAAAAAAATCAAAGCTTAAAGGATTTAATTTTTTTTTTTAATTTTTGTTTTTGGTGCCCCAAGAAGACCTAATGTTATTGTTACAAAGCACCGCCAAAGAGGATTTTACTAAGAAGTTCACACCTTCTTCCTTACCAAGGGCGCAAAATAAAAAATACGTATTATACAGACAACTTGAAATTTTAATATAACAACTATTATAAGTATATAGTAGTTGTTATATTAAAATTTACATTAAATTATCCTTCATAAATGTTTTTTTATCAATATTTTATATTAATGTATTTTTATCAATCTGATATGTAATAAATCGGTATATATATATTTTCTTTTTCGCGATAAAAAAAAGTTTTTATATATTGCATAACTAATAATAATAATAACCTTAATAAATTCGTTAGTCGAGATGTTTAATAATTGTTTCATTTTTATAAAGCCCTTATTAAATTGAGTGAGATGTTATGCACTAAAACTAAAAACAATCTTATATTTAGCAAAATTCACCTGACCTTCTGAATCCTTGTCAGACTTACTAATTCTTCTACTGTATCCTCGGATCTTCTGGTCTCAAAAACCAGGTTTTAACCTTCTGACTTTTACGTGCCATTTCTTAACACTCTTTATTAATCTTTTTTTTTTTTTGTAATAATGTTTCTAATTAAGTTAACCAAGTCCCTTTACTTTATACTTCAGTCAATACTGTTGTGATTGTTGACTTTAATGCATATTAAATTGAATAATTTGAGTCTAGTACCACCAACCTTGCTGGTTTTACAGCTCAATATTTTTGTCTTTTTCAATCTCTAACTCAGACCTTTGTAGTTTTCTAGATAACCCTTATCGCTTAGCTTCATTTTTTAATTTGCGTTTTGTCTCCTAGCTAGTACTTACTACTGCTACTTAAAGGTGGACATGAATTCACTCTATTTGATTCCTATATTGATAATAGCTAAGCTCTTATTATCCCCTACTTTGCATCTTCTTGTATTATCTTTTACTGCCTCGTGGAAACCATATGAAAAAAAACTTAATCTTGAGTCCTCATTTAGCTAAATTTTATTTCTTTATTTATATTTTTCATGCTCAAAAAAATATTTATTTTCAACTAGTTTTTTTTTGCGAATATCGGTGCTTTGAAATCCTCTCCCATCTTCATATAAACATATGTTTACCAGACACACACATAAACATATGTTTACCCGACACACACAACTAAAAGCTATTTAAACTTCCTGTCAACCTATTTTTTGTCATTTTGCTTCTTTTTATTTTTTATCAACTCTTGAGTTGAATAATGTTTGCTTGTAGCCTTGTTAGTAGGTTTTAAAATAAATATGACATATTTAATGATCACACCCTAGTGGAAATATTTCTTACGAAAAAAAAAGTACACCATAAACGGATTACATTTTCGAAACCACTGTTCCTTGTTCTATTATGACCTAGATTTTAAAAATATTCTGTCGATACCTAAAAAAATAAAATGGGGTTAAACAAGCTGGTCCAGAATTTTTAGTGTTTAAGATAGATAACTTCCAGAAATGGTGCTTTCATAAAATTTTGTAATAATCATACTAATGCAAAATAAGAATGTTTTAGAAAAAATTGCGACGATCGGATACTGGAAACAGTATTAAACCTAAAATTTAGGTCCTTGTGTCCCATGTATGGTTTCATTAGAAAAAAAAAATTTTTTTCTCATAATATCTTTAACTAAATTAAAATTAATCGACAGATTTAAAATTTCATACAAAAAGCTCTTCTCTTTAAAAAGTTATTATTGTTTTTAGTTTTTTATTCGCCAATTAACTCTAAAAAATAACTTTAAAAGATCACAACTTTTAAACGGCATATTTTTTTGGAATGATATTTAAAATTTGTTTATAAATTTTGATTCTCATAAATATGAAAAGAAAAAAAAACTCATAAACGTTTTAAGGGCGTTACGTTAGGGGCGTGTTCTTAGAGATTTAATATGATTGGGCCCAATCATTGGACACAAATAAAAAGAAGATTTTAGTTTTTTGTTGTGGTTTTTAGTGATATTTAAAATAACAACTTAAAAATAACTGTTTCATATTTTACAAACTAACTTTTCACAATAAATTATATATATAGTTAATCAGTAAGACTTTCAGAAAAAAAAGTATGACGAGAGTTATATGTAACAATAGCTTTATGCAATCTTTACGAATAATTTTTGTGACATTTGGGTACCTTTTACCCGTTTTCTCAGAACTGACTAAAATTTTGATGAACAGATTCAGAGGCTTGTTCGCTCCAATAGCCTAGGCCTTTGTTTGGATAATCACTTGACATCGTTTTTAAAAATTCTACTGTATGTTTTACTAAAGCGTGTACTTTAGGTGATACTCTTAATCCAAGTTTATATTAAAATCCTTGATAGTCTTTTACTTTTATTTTACTTGATAATCTTTTACTTTTCGTAGTCGGGTTCTAAAGTCATCGCTAAACAACTAACTTTAACTTCTCTTAAGCATTTAAATGCCTGTAGTATGAAAGAAAGTTGTTCATCATTATCTAGTGAAAAAGACTTGATCAAATCGTTCAAAATATCTATATTATCAAGATGTTTTGAACACTGTCCTCCCTTAAATTGCCCACCATGAAGCCTTGGTCTTTTAAACCCCAGTTTTTCATTCCACTCCTCTGCTTTAAAACAAAATTCTTTAGATTTTGTATATGAATCAAGATAATTAAAAAATTTGTTGGTGTTTCCATTGAGAAGGTGTAGCTCCATCGGAGCAAGAAGTTTTATAACCTTTGTTTCATCTGGTAAATCAATAAGTGGTTGGTCTACACAATTATGATAGGGTACTGCAGATAACTTTGATTTTTTAATTTTTTTTCTGCAAGCATTTTTGTAATTATTAGCTGATGATCTAATCATTCCAAGCGTTCTATGTTCACCTTGAAATTCAAAATTTTGAAAATCATTTTTGTTAGCTATACACCAAGGGTAAGGATGAGTTGAGGCTGCAGTTTCTATTCCAAAAAAAATATTGGCCAACTTCATATCGAAAGCACAAAAGTATTTAATACTGTTTAAATTAATAAAATTGATTATTATTTTCATATTTGCGTAAGATTCTTGCAAATTTTCTACAAGTGCAATAATAATGAGTTTGTTAACCCCACCATCATTGTATTTTTCATTACATATGTCTTCGTCATAACTAAATTTTTTTACCTTTTCTTTAGATACCTCGCAACGATCTAAGATATTTAAACAAATTTTCAAAAATCCAGCACCTCCATCAATGCCGACTTTTAAAATGTACTCACTTGAAATATTTCTTTTTTTGACAACATTTTCCACCAGTCCTAGAATATCTTTGCAATAAGCCATCACCTTTTCACCCTCATCAAATTTAACAGATCTTACGTCAAAGTATTCGTTTAAAATGGCGTCTTCTTCAACCAGTTTATTTCTTGTATTTTTTTCAAATGATTTGCGACCTTTCCAACTTCTAAAAATACTTAAAACTTTAGCACCTTGTGTGTTACTGAGACCACATGCATTTTTTAATTTGTTCACTTTACTTGTATGTATCGGAGAATCAGTAAACAAAGCTTTAGAAGAAGTTTTTGAATTGAAGTTCTCTATGTTGCAACCTTAATTAAATTGCCTTGTTTTTCGAACTTTTGTTTAAGTGTTTTTGAACATTGCAATTCGGCACCTCTATCGTCTAAATAAAAATCTACAATATAAAATTTGTAATTACTTTGGAATTATTATTACAATTTAGTTTTAATAGGAACTTAATAATGAAATTAATACTTTTTTACCTTTATCTAGTTGCTTCATTAGGTTTTCCCTTCGCTTTGTAAAGGTGAGTTTCCACTCATCCGTTTTTCTACGGGAAAGGGAAAGGGAACGGAAAAATAATCACCTGAGCATGCGCAGTTTTCTTTCGGACAAATAAAAACTGTTATTACGTATGCTCACGTGATTATTTTTTTCCTTCCTATCCCGTTCCCGTTGAAAAACGGATGAGTGGAAACTCGTCTTAATACAACAGGTGTGGGCTAATCCTGGTTCAATAACATTTAGACATCTTTTAC